GCGAAGCACCCATTCACTCTGTATAACCTGTATTTTTTTAAACCATGAGCAGAAAACGGAATGGATGATGACAACCTGTAACCACGCGCTGTTCGCCATCGTGGACGTCTTCACGCAATACTTTGATGTCCTCAACGAGATTCTCTTGGAAGACCTCCTCCAGCAACTCCTGTGGTGCGTCCAACAAGGTGAGAGTGCCACAACGCCATTTATCCATTGACGATGCATGCGTTGTGCTCAAAATTGTGTGCCTTGGTCTTGTGACAAGAGGTTTTGTTTGAGCTGTGTTTAAGTGGTCATAACCAAGAATCGGTTAATTTTGTTCCATGCCTGAATTTATTTGGCATTGATCCAGTTCGGTGTATTCCAACAGCATGTGCTCTCTACAAGGATATTCAGGAACAGCTGTGCACGTGCACCGCTCAACTGTGAGCTTTGTTCCCGAAAGACCTTGGCTTTGTGAAACACTGAACTGGTTCATTATAATCGGCCATGATTTATGCATTAAGAATTAGTACATTTGATCAAAGAGAAACAAGTGAACCAGTTTTGATTTGACCATAAACATGCACCCCAGGAGGCTGCGTGCAAAAGTTGTGGCTACAGCTGAACACGGGACATGTTTGTGTGGAAGCCACTGGCCAGCGGCTGCAGCTACATCCTATAGTCAACTGTGTAACACTCAGCCGCTGCCTTTTGATTTGAGCACGGCCAGAAGTGAACCGCTTCATGGACTGTGTACAGGAGTCCAGAGATGATGCTGTTAGGTGCTACAGACTAAAGTCAAGGATACATATGCGCACACTGGTTTGTGCATGTAAACTGTGTTGAGTGCAAGCAACCAATTTTCATCAGAATGTGCACAAATCAAGAGCATACAAGCGACCTGCCTCCCAAAATGCAGTGGATGATTGAAGGATCCAGGTTAGTTACGGTTAGTGAGGTCTGAGGAAGTCTGTTAATACCATGTTCATTTTTCTGTTCTGTCCAGACAACGAGCAGTTGGCGCGGTCGGGCACCAACTGCCTGGAGCAGCTGGTGATCAGCAACGGAGCGTCCTTCAGCGCCACCACCTGGGACCGTGTCTGCACCTGCATGCTGGACATCTTCAAGAGCACCATACCCCACGGGTGAGCTCCCAATTCTCTCTGTTACTCCACAAATCTGACCAATAATCTTCAATCTTTACGCCTATGATGTTTGCATATTAATGGACAGTGGTTTTAATGTTTGGCAGTGCCTCATTATGTAACGGATACCAAACATTTCTGTTGTGTACTTTTCTACACATTTAGTCAACTGCAGGCCAAATTTGGTTTTGTAGAAACTTGAAAACTGACACCGCCACTTGACACCAGATGACGTGAAATCACACATCATTTTCCTTATTTATTCCACGGAGGACGTGTACACTCATTTAAGAATTCTTTTTTTCATTTCCGCTGTTGACATATTAATGCATCATGCTTGGTTGGGTCAAAGCACAATTGCAAGGTTGAAGAATTTGTGGGGGAAAAAAATGCCCCAGCAGCTTTTTTTTGGGTAAGAAAATCCAACATTCGCTGGCTGTTTGTTGTCTTTTGAGGACAGCTTACGTGACTTTTGTTTTTTAGTCTGTATTGGAAAGAGCAAACTGAACTCTTCGGGTTGAGGTATCACTAAGTCTGTCATCCTGATGAAAACAGCCATAATGATGCATATGAAAAAAAGATGAGGGCTTCCAAGGGCTTGTCTTAACCTGAATATCTGTCTTTGTGTTGTAGTCTGTTGTCTTGGAGACCGGAGGAACATCATGGCGACGGACAGCCAGCCAAAGATGCCGACACAATCAGCAGAGATTCTCTACCAACTCCTGATCACGTGAGCTTCCATTCAGAATTCATGGCGTGCCCAGAGTTGAGGCAACCCCTTTGATTTCCCACTTTTCGTTGTGTATGACTTGTTGACGCACGCGGCATCTGACATGCCAGTACTAACCAGCACGCTCTCAGAGGTTCAAGACGTGAATTGTGTGATCGAATGTTGATCCCAACCCGAAGGAATTTTGGAAAATTCTCAAAAGATTCCTGGGAGCAAATTATTAGAATTAGAGATCAAAAACTTTTTATGTTGAATGTTCTCTCCGTGCATGCCTACAACAGGCATACTGGTTGCCATAGTAACAGTAAGGTCCTGAGGAAAAAGCTCGCAGCTTTGTACGAAATGCTTATTTGTAGGTGTACTTCCAAGGTTGCAAACTCAGTTAAGTTTGTGAGCCGACCCAGCCAAATTTGCTCGAAGCTTGTTTGAGTTACGAGGCCTTGGAGAATCTCACATGGTGATGAGTGTGAGGAGCCCTCAAGGTATCGCGTGTCATATTCGTAGAGGTCAGGATGTTGGAAGGAGATTTGGTACACTACTGGTCCGTTTCCATGGTTGTTTGCGTGCTCAGAACTGGCAGAAAGGAGCAGTGTGTTTGCTGCCACCAGCATCTAAAAACTCTCCAATCGACCTTAGCCATGGTGAAGCCTATTCAATGTAATCTGTTAAATGGGGTGGTGCCAGACTTTCTGGGGTTCCAAACCTCTTGAAACAAGACTTGAAACATGTAGATATAATTGATCACAAATTTATAATCTTTTTCAACCAAAGCTGGTGTGAATTTGTATTGAACATCAATTGTATTGCTGCTGTGTTTACTCTCAGGTTCCCAAAATGAAAAAGTTACCTCACGCTCAATTCAAGATGGCCGACACATGAATACAGTCTACAGTCTATTTGAGTGATATATCAAAATGGAAAGCTGACTTCAGTCCGTAGCCAGTTCTATGGCATGGAAAGAGTCTGTCAGGGAAACATAAGATTAAGACTAAGATTTGGTTGCCACATGTTAGTTGTCAGTTCCAAGAAATTCTCCACCTCTGTTGACCAGATGTTGTTCCGTTCTCGACCACTGCAGGATTCCCCCTCCCTGCTCTCGGGATCACCTGCCTCCGTCGATAAGGAGGACCACCCACCTCCCACGGCCGTCGAGCGGAGAGCGGACCTACGCCGGGCAGGCAGCGAGCACAGCGTGGCCAGCGCGACCAGCATGGAGAGCAAGACCAGCGGCCGGGCCCCAGACATCCACAGTAGGAAATGTTTAGTTGTTGTCCACAGTGAGAGATCGTTTCTGGAGAAATTTGCTGTCACCGACAAAGATTGACAGGGGCTGGCTCGGAAAATTTTGATATCGAATTTCAGTGCAAAGCAAAGACCATACTTTTCGACAGGAATTGATCGTGCATGCACAGCGTGTGTGGGTGTGCAGGCATGGCGTACATAGTGTGGACCTCTGCACAAAAGAAGTCCAAATAATGTAGTATGCGATGGCGTTGTGTGGACTTGCACGCGTCCACACAATGTTTTCCCTCTGAAAAACAATTTCAGAGGCATTTTGGGGTCAAGGTTATCTGTGGCAAAATGAAGAGGAACAGTCCAGGAAATCATCAAAAATCCAGCTGGAAGGAGTTCTCCTAGTTGGAGAAAAAGGAGCATTTCCCTCAAGTTTCCTTAACCACAGGAGGACAAAGGAATGTCCACACTTTGTATGCAAAACAGGTATGGGTGTACACCATGTTTCCTCACTTAAGGGACATAGTCCCATGTAAAAGCATGTCATTCCTATGCATGGATATGAGCAATTCACGTGACTGATGAACTATTGTCAGTGGGTTCAGATAAGTAAAAGCCCTCGCCACATCTTGGGAAAAGGTCAACGTCACGTAACTCCGTTGCATAATGGTCAGGCACATCTCTGAATGGTTGTACGCAGTCCACACTTTTGACATCAGTCTTCTTGTGTGTGTGCGAGTGCTGATGTGGGATGTTTTTTGTCAACAAGTTAAATTTTCATTGGCCCTAGGCATAGTGCCTGCCGTGCCTATTGGATCATCTTGCCCTTGATTTGTTTGTTCCATTTGTAATATATGCAAACTGGTTCCCGTTCACCATCGGTGTCAAGTGTCCACGCGTGGCTCTCGTAAAAAGCCCACGCGGCAAAGTCGAGAGTTCTCTCAAAGTCTTCTCTGAGGTACGTGCAGGGAGCTGATAACTCCTGTCTCTCTCTCCTTGCTCCCCCAGAAACGCCCGCCGACCAGAAGATCTTCTCCAGCTTGCTCATCAAGTGCGTGGTGCAGCTGGAGCTCATTCAGACCATTGACAACATTGTATTCTTCCCGGCCACCAGTCGGCACGAAGACGCGGACAACCTCAAAGCAGCCCAGGTAGGGGTTCACTTCTTCAACTCTTCTCCCTCGACCTGGGTTAGTTTCCACAGCTCTCTAAAAGGACAGAGCATGTTTACAAGTTTTATGATTTTACCACTGCAGCCCAGTGTGATATGGACACCATGCCTAGTTTGACGAGGGCGCTTTGTTCTCCAGCGACAGCTTTCGTGCGGGTTGACACCACTGATCAACATTCGCCTCATTAACTCAGTCATGATCTGCATTTCTGAACTTACCAAGTAGCGTACGAGAAATGACACAAAACACAGAAAAGGGGGGAGGTTGCTGTCACGTTAGCAGCGTTTCCCCGATGGTTTCACATTCTTGCAAGTGTTCCAACACGTAAGAACATTTTACACGTGTAAGTCAGCCTGGAGGCTGTAATTTGAGTGATAGCAGTAGAGAACTTGATGCTCTTCATCCAAAGTTGTTGTTCCCGTTTGCAGTCAACAATGGACAGAACAAAATCTCCCCGTCAGATTTTTTAAATCTAAACCATTAATTTCTGTTTCAAAACAGAAACCACTCTGAGGTTTCAGCTCAGTTTCAGGCTCTGCGCGGATGCACATAACGAGCAGGTTGTAGAGAGCTCAAAACGTGGCAAAATTGCACACCCATCAGGGAAACATGGTGAACGCGACAGTGACTTACTAGCTCCCTCTCCTTGCAAATGCAGTTTTGTATTTTGAGGGGGGCAGTAGAATATTTTACTAGGAGAGAGGTGTGAGATTTTCGGCCTTGTTTTGATTTTTATCATGGCAGAGCGTCTCACTCTACTGAGAGTGAAAAAATGTCGGTCATGCCCAGCAGCCGGGTTTTTTGTTTCGAGTACGGTCTTTTGTTTCAAGGCCTGTTTCCCTTTGTCCGATTTCGGAGACCCGGGCCACACATATAAACACACGGTGCCCGAAACCGGAGTCCCCGGCGGCAAGTGGTTAAGGCCTGCTGTAATATTGAAAAGGAAAAGCTAGTGTGAAATCTGTGGCTGGCTTTCTCCAAGATTTGCGAAGTTGCTGTAAAGCAGGGTTCCTGCGGCCTGGAAAAGTCATGGAAATTTGTTTTTCCTGTTTCAGGCCTGGAAAAGTCATGGAAATTTGTAAAAATGACTAAAGTCATGGAAAAGTCATGGAATTTTGTCATGGAAGTCATAAAACACTGTGTGATTTCTATCATCAGAAATAAGCGCATAAAACCTGTGATTGTATTTGCAACCTAAAAGGCCGAATAGTCCAAGAAATTGCATTATTTGGTTGTGGATTTTCATAATTTGGTCATGGAAAAGTCATGGAAAAGTCATGGAATTTAATTGTCCTTTAGGTGCAGGAACCCTGGTAAAGTTGCTGTACAAATTGACCATAAGTATATAGAGTACCGAAGTGTGACGAACCAGAAAGTGCAGTGCAAACAAATGGAATACGCGCGCGTGTTGGTTCACTCGCTGGTTCTCGCGCTAATGCCTTTTACACACTAATTGTGTGCGTGACGTAGTCACTTCGGCACTCAGTTGTGTAGCTTTGCCACAGATTTGTGTTGTAAGGCTTACGTATGGTACAGAGTTCCACTATCTGGTGGATGGTGTTATTCAGTGAGTCATCCTGTGTTTTCCCCAGGATAACACGACGGATGAGCTGTCGGTGTCCTCAGAGTCCACCCTGAGCGGCGAGGACCCGGGTATGTACCGATTTCTCTCCTCCAATCAGCTCTTCTTACTGATGGATTGCCTGATGGAGTCGCACAGCTTCGCCAAGGAGTTCAATAGCAATAATGCCCAGCGAGAGTTGCTCCGATCGGCAGGTAAATAAACGATGTCAAACTCCAGATTATTGTTTATTCCACTGATTCGCTTCATGCATTCAATAAACGCACTCTTAGCCATCGTGCACTGTTGCTAATAAGCCATTTGCGAGTTAAATTTAAGTAAAATCTGGTACACTGAGTTCTTTAAATTCACATGAACATAACAATTTGAATTCTCCATACTAAAGCCACTGTTGCTGTACCTCGTGATGCGGGGCAAGCTTTGCTTAGTTACATAAGAGACGCCTTGCAACAATACGCTGTTCTCAATGGATAAGAACAGCACAAAGGAACCAATCTATTCCAGAGATGGTGGTCGCTAAGCAAAAGCTTGCCCCGAATCACGAGGTATAGCAATAGTGTCTTTAGTCTGGGGAATTCAAATTGTTAAGTTTCTGTGCAATCAGATAGCAGAGTGTACCAGATTTTATTCAAATTCAACTCGCAAGTGGCTTATTGTAGAAGCAGCCTGAAGCCCTCGGGGGAAAAAATTCTGTGCAGACATAAAGGAAAGTAACGGGACATCCTGTAATTCTAGAGACTTCCTCGCGTGTGCATATTTCACCTTCCAGTAGAGGACGGCAACGCTTAGAAAAAATGGAGAATTCCACACTGGACAGTCATTTGCAGCATCACACCCACCAGGTTTTGAAAGGGTCCATTGCATGGGGGGGGGACAGGTTGGAAAAGAAGGGTAAAATTGGTGGTGTATTTGGCACCGGCGTGGTCTGATGTGGAATTGTTGCCAGAGGGAATTTTCCTGTCCTGGAGAGTCAATCTATTATTTCAAGCTGCTTCTCGGAGGTGTGATTGCTATGGAAGGAAACAAACGCCAACCCCAAATCTCATGTGCAGCAATCCTGGCCGTGTATTGTGTTGTTTTGTGTCCTTTTCAATTTTTTTTTTGGGGGGAAACAAAGGATGGGGTTTACGGATCAGGTGTCATAACTTGAAGAACGTACAATTTTGACTAAAAATAGCATTGTCCGTCCTTGTCAACCCAAGACCACTCCTTAGAAAAGCTCAGCTCTGAGAGTCATTTTTCCTTTTTTACTCCCAACTTCCCCCCGCTCCCAGGTTTCCGTGGCAAGAACAAGCCCAACCTGTCCACCCAGGAGACGGCCAGCCTCGCCTGCTGCCTTCGGCTCCTCTTCAAGATGTACAGCGATGACACCCGGCAAGCTGAGTGGCCGGTCATCGAAGACAAACTCCTCAGGTTCTTGGATTTTTTTCCTAATCTTTGCCCTCGCGAGATATTCTGCCTTTATGTACAGATGCTTCGTCCTGCAACGCTGCACAGCTTCAATCATGTGTGCACTTTTCTTTCCAAAGACAAAATTTTTAACTGCAGAGCAGTGTGGAGTTATTCTCTGCATATCTAGGAATTCAGAAAATAAGGTGTTTTTTGGTTTTGCAAGTTGATTAACAAAGAAAATCCTTTTGTTTGAAACCGCTTAAATATTCAGATATGGGGGGGGTGTTGCAGAGTGGTGAGAGTTTGTAAGTCTCTATTGTAGGATGAGAAGGTTCGAATCCAGCATGTGGTGTGACCTTGGGCAAGCCACTTCTCCCGCACCTGCCCCTCTCCACCCAGGAAGATATACACACGAGTACCTGTGAGGGCAGAGATGGTTGCTGTGTATGATCAGCCATTTGCACCTAAAATGGTACACATGGAGCTCAACATTCCTGGTGGAGCTGAGATGGTTTCAGGTTTATTTCTTGGCCTGGCGAGCTGGGATGATGGAGAGTCTTGAGCACTGGCACTGGTAGAAATATAGAGTACCAAAGTGTGATGTCATTTTGACTAGGAAGCGCAGTGCAAGTGAATGGAGGGCATGGGCGTGTTGATTCACGCACCTGGTCTCGCACTAATACCTTTTTACACATGCAAGTTTGCATGCAACGTATTCACTTTGATAGATAAAAAGTCCTGTCTTCTTTGTTGTCCAAATGAAGTTTTTTTTTTTAAAGTGGGGCTTTACCCGTAATTATATGCAAAATGGTCAGCCTCCTTCCCGTTTCAGAGTGTTCGATAGATGAAGTGGATTCGGGGGCCGTGACCCAAAACGGCCATCTTGTGATTCAAGCCTGTGTCCCTCATTTGTTTCTCAGTGTTTGCCAAGCTGCCCTGGAGTACTTCAACTCCCTAGACTCTGAGAGCCACCGGGCGGCCTGGAAGTCTCTACTTGTCCTGCTGCTGACCAAAGTGCTCAAGATGAGCGATGAAAGAGTGAGTAGGTCCTGACGTCCCACGCCCAAACGTGCTAGCTTTGGCATTCAGTACCGGCTGTGATACGGATTATACATTGGTTGCTATGGGTAGGGTACAGCAGAGTGAAAAATGGCGATTGCCACCTGACTACCTCTAGGCCAATCAAGATGCAGAATCTGTTGATCAAGTGTCCATAACGCAGACTGCTACTTTATTTTGTGACGTTATTTTGCTTGCCGTGGTGACGGGGTATATATCGGTGTGTCCGTTTATCTCTGCAGTTCAAGATTCACGCGTCCAAGTACTACAGCCAAATGTGCGAGGTTGTCATGTTCGACCTCCGGCCCGAGCTGAGGTCGATTTTCCGGAAGTTTCTCCTGAGGACCGGCTCTGTCTTTGGCATCACGTCCAGCCCCAGATGATGAGGGTGGGGTGACACTGCGACGCGACGGGGATGCTTGTGCAGTCGAATACCATGACATATACCCTAACAGATGGCCCGATACTTGCTGTGACTTTGAAGAAAGGCACACCAAGACAAACACGGTGATACGAAGACACCACTCAGAGGCGGGATCATTGTCAAAAAGATGTATATTGTTTTCCTAGTTTTTTGTTAAGATTCAGTAAGGGGGCGTGCAAATCTGATTTAAAAAATGAACATGAAACATTTAAACTTTTCTTTTGTTACTTTCAAGTGAAAAACTTTCTGTCAAGAGTATATTTTGTAACACTTAAAAGTCATTCAGTGTTATTTTCTCTGGCCAAACCTTCAGATGTCTGACCCTGTATCCTTCACGAGTTCATACTATAACCCATCCCAAGCAGCAATGACTTGGCGGTTCTCCTTCCCACTGAATGGGAATTTAGCACAGCAATAGCAAGTGGCCTGACTGTTGAATAGAAAAAAGCATTAAGCATCGAATTGTTCAGTCGTGCCGACTAAAAGAATAATTGAGCAGGTAGCGGTCGCGATCGTGTTGTTTTTTATTATTTTTTCCCGATGTCGCTTTCCGTTCCCCAGTGTCTGTGTTAAATTCCTTTCATGAGTGTACTGGATGAAGTATTTGAATTGGCAGCCTATTATTCAAAGGAAAAAAAAGTTCATGTATTTTTGTGTCATTCAGAACCAGCATTCCTATCCAAATGATGTAGTCGAACTAAAATGAAGAATAAATAAACGTGGACTTGTACAGATTACAATTTGATATGAGAAATACTGGGAATCGGATCGGAAATAATTTTTGTGTTTGTATAAAACAAATTCTGTATCTTTTATACACACCCCAGCTGTAAATGTGTACTGTACATCCATGGATATTTTTAGGAGTACTGTCGCCATTGTTTGGTCAAAAATAATGAATTATTTGTATTTAGGTTGAAGAATTTTACTTCGTAAAGATGCGAGAAAAGAAAGCTTGAAGGAAATGAAATTTCCAGTGCTAATTTCCATAGTGATTATCTTAGTTGAAATAAGGTTTGAAGGCTTTTGACCAACTGGAAAAATAGAATCATGCTAAGGGGTGGTCAGGTTTATTTCTTGGAGACTCTTTTGTCTTCCTTGGTAACAGACTAGTAGACTGATGGCCTGCCCTCATTGAAAGAGGGCAGATTAATTACCTCTCCGATTCCATAGATATTTCATTGGTTACCGTACATACTCGCTGGGGCAATTACTTCACCTTTTGTGAAGGCTGAGTGGGACTACCTCTGAGAGGAGTCAGGTTGGCGTAGTGGTTCTTTCCCCGCCTTCCACCCCTGCGGCCCGGGTTCGAAATCCCGGCCCGGTCCACATGTGGATTGGGTTTTCAGTCCCTACCTGATTCTGTACGTTTTACCCAGAATATTCCTCTGGGGGCTTCCTCCCACCTCCAAAACTGTAAATGCTTATCACTCCCTCCTCTCTACAGGTTTCTTCAGGCTTGCGAGCTACAGTGCACTTTTGAGGAATCCTTGGTGTCATTACCAGAAATATAATAATAAGAATAATTTCACACGGAGCACTGCATGCCCATGACCTGTTGTCAGAGGTCATCCGGGCAGAAAGACTGGTCCCTTACGTTTCTCAAACCTCTTGGGCTTTTTTCCTGTCCGTGGCGTTGAGCTCGTATCAGATCCACACATTAGAACCAAAATGCGTGGAAGCAAATGTTTCCAAACGTAAAAGTTTTTTTGTTCAAACTTCGCATATTACGCAAAAAGATGTTCAAAATGGTTCTTGGGAAAGACCCGAAACCTCACACAAGATCGTATTGCGAGAGAGCCCTTTGTTTAGAGAGCCCACAATTAGACTTATGGCCAAGTTTCAGTGGGCGATCTTATCTCAACCGCTAGTCGATTCACCTGTTAAAACTGTGCTTCATATTTCATCCTGGTTACCCAGGCAAAAATCGGTCAGTGGTCAAACGCTCGCCAACGAAACCTGGCCGGTGTGCAGTGATCAGAAGGTGTCGCTCTCTACACGAGTTCTTTTTTATTTTTCATATTGAAACAAACGCTCAGTTTATACATTTCCAAGCATGTTCTGAAAAGGAGGAAATGGGAAATTAATTATTCGTCCGCGCGGACTGTTTTTGCCTCGGAAATAAAAGAATAAATTTAAATCAATCTTACAGCTCTCCCCTAATGCGGTATACTAAGTGTAGAAATTTATGAATAAAGCCACCGTTTTTTATTATTCGATTTTTTTAAAATATTTATTTGAAATTTTATCCGTAGGAAACTTCGATTGTGGTATCACTTCCCCTAGTTTTGTGTCTGCGTTTTCCTTAAATTACCCCAGTAATTCCAATAGGCTTTCGTGTGACATTCCTTTTTCTGTTTCTTTCCACAGTTGTTTGGGTAATTTTGCAAAGTGTGTCATGGATTCGTGCATATTGATATCATTCGACTACTTTTCTCGTAGCCACGTTATCGTTTGTAACCCGGCGTTGTGTATAGCTTTTGTGACTGTACATATGCATTGGGAACTGATAAGTTTAATTTATCCGCTACGGACAAAGTTTAAATAGAGAAATCGTTGCTTTAAGAATTATATTTCTGGCTTTTGTGATTACGTTGTAACTCAATAAAGAACCGAAGAAATGTCTGAGAAGTTATTCTGTTAAGGTCTGTGTTATGTGAAAAATTTTTTTGACTGCCATTTTATAAGGGCTGCCCTTTTGACGTCACAATCGTGGTTTTCCTATAAGTGGCTGCTAAAATTATGGTTGGCCGTCGGTGCAACAGTAAAAGGATTATTCACAAAGTGTCAAAAATCCCACGCAGCTATCAGAACAGCGGATAATAAAACACATAATACTAAATACTAAGAGGAAATTCATTCCTTTTGAAACAGTGGGATATTTATTCATTTTGAACGAATTTAGAGGTTAAATCGAAAACCAACGAAAAGGTGACATACATGTATCTGCAAACTTTGGCCGCCCGTGAAAATTCTAGGCAAAATGAGAGTCGTCTACACGTTATACGATGAGTGTTGATGGGTCCTGTGGTAAGAATTCCTCTGTGAATGGGACGTTTCATTGAATGAGTTCTTTCTAGTGCACGAAAATGAATCCGTGGCTTGTTGTTTTAATCCCTTCGTTATACCCGAAATTTCCTTGGTCATAGGTGCAAGGTTACCCTCTCGACGCCACCCGAGAAGACTTTGGAATCTTGACAACAGGACATACACTCGGACCTTAATACTGAGAATGCCATGTGACTGTTCCATGCGATCTGTCGACGAACGCCAGTTCATTCATCAGGCGAAAACGAAGCAAATGTGACGTCACGCTCAACTTTTATGAAATTGATCTGACGTCACAATTTCGCTTTCGTTTGCGCGGCGCATGTCAACAATGCCACCATCAGCCGATCGCCTTTCTTTTTCACGGTTGTGGAAGACTGTTTAAACATTTTTAAAAAAAAGAACTAAAGTTATAAATTTCATACAGGATCCACCCGGCGAGCGATCGATATAGGTAATCGGTGTAAAAAGCCCAAATGATTATCCTTACCCAATTAATTGTGAACAACAAAGCACTGCATGATCTCAAGAAGTTCATGCATCACCCACGACTTCGCGCATTTCTCTTATAGTGCTGCGATATCGTGTGTGATGAAAACTACATGTACCTCGATGACAGCTGATCGACAACCCACCAATCAAATGACGGGCATTCATTCATTTAGGCGTTTGTTTTGTCCATTCTTTGTACAGTTTGTTGTGATGTTGCGGACTCCATATCTTCAGGGGTGTGGGGTTGTTAGCCCGTTGCAAAATCGTTCACCGTCACGGTTTTGTCTTCTCAGCGTCCTGACTTTGCCTCATAAAAGATCCGTCCCGCGTTGCAATCAGCAACTCCACTCCCCCCGCCCCTTCCCGGCTTACAGCTGCATGTCTTGCTCGACTTCGCTCGACACCGATGTACTACAGTACTCGCGTGGACGGCAGGCGCTCAAATTAAACTGTCGGTCCAACGTCTGCCATTTGGACATGGACCTTAATTCCCAAAATTTTATATTCTTTCCCTATCCCCAACAAGTTCCGATGGATTCTGGCGTGAAATCCGATGCACACCAAAGATTATATAGCGCCGCGTACGATCTTTGGTGCACACAGCCGACCGGCAGTACGCTGCATAGTCTCTGCTCCATTCGTCACCTTAGGCCCGGCTACTCAGGTGCTTGAGTGCAGCTCCTTCGCTAATTGTCGGCATGCGGGCTTACAGGCCGACGGACCATAGTGAGATTCGCTTTTTTTTCATCAATTGCCCCTGCATTTTGTACGTTCCTGTGCTTGTTCGGCTTTTTCTTTTCTTTTCTTTTTTACTGCATTGATTTGTACATTTTTCCACAGAGGCAAACAAAACAATTGTTCTGCCGGATATAACAATTGCTAAGACAAAGAGCTGCAGAACATTTCCTCCACGCATATTCCGCATTTACGAAAGCACAGTGCTATGTGTTCGCTAGAAGTCCGAAAGCCCAGTTGCCAAGGATATGGTTGATTTTCTCTCCAATGAATTATTACCGTGGAAACTGATGGTGTCTTTTTGCGGATGATTTTAATGAATGGTGAAATGTTGTGCTTTGTGCTTTTTTACAAAAAATAAAAAAAGGAAGTTCAAATTTTATAAAAGACCGCATTCTTGTGTTTAGTGAGATATGCAGGGTCGCATTGGTGGTCAGTGACGTCATTTTTCGAGAACGTGTGTTGAAGCAAACTAAAATGATTGGGCCTGTGTACCTTGAAGCGACAGTGCACATTTGTTATTGGCCAAAATACGGGTCCTATCGTGTTGCCACGGTAACGGGTGACGGTGTGCAGGGGAAGAAAGTTGTGACATAGCCTTACAGGAAAACTGAAAGAATAATACAGGCCTAATTGTTCTGCAGAAATTCTGCAGACACTGAAGAAAGTGGAAAATGGCGTTTTATAATTCCCATGGCGCGAAGTACAACGCATGTAGCTCCGGCGTTATAAAAACACTTGCAAACATCGACCATCTTGATAATCCTGTCCTCTGCACTAGGCCTACTTTAAACCCTTTCCATGGGCGTCAGACTGAACTTTATCATACTTATAAAGACTGCTGCGAAGTTCAAGTATACAGCCGTGAATGTGTTTTGTAAATTTCCGTCTCTTATAATTCGCAGTGCAATCG